AGCCCGGAGAAAAATGTTGAAAAGGAAAGAAATGTTTCTTTTATTATGAGGAATCTACAGTTTTTCGTTGTGACACTTATTTGTTAACACCTGGGTTTTTTACCCTATTGCTATTTTCAATCTACGAAAATGATTGATTTGACAGAAAATCAAACCTCTAAAATCGTATCCGACAATCAGGCGCTACTAGGGGAATTGAAAAGAAAAAGATCAGAATATAATATGTCTCATTCTCTTATTCACTCAAATCATTGTAATATAGAAAATAGAAAAGGATAGAAGTTCAGCTTATCTTACTAATAACATCCAGTGACTATATATCTCTCTATAGTCTACTAGGCTTGTCGATACATTTTTATTGACTCTCATTGTGTCAATGGCATCAAAAATTGAGAGAAATTCAGTCATTCGAACAGTTAGGGTCCCTTGATGTATATTGACGTATTTGTCATCTTAACAGGGTACGGACAGATCCTCGTCTCCTCTCACTCTGAAGTGTTTGTGAAACAGTTATATATTTTCATCCTTATTCATTTCTGGGGATAAGCACTGGATTTCTCACAGTTGTTGTTTTTTAGGTTATATTGAGGACATTGGCGTATCATACGTAACGTATGACATACGTTACTTATTCAACTCTACATATTATATCCAAATGATGATGATGATTTTCGAGTTTTTGATTTTTCAACTCCAGCATAATTTTTGTGAGGCAGTGAACAAATTTTTCTGAAAGTTTAATACGTTTTACCAAATGGGACTATTCTTATAAATGAATTTTGATTTCAGACTAAGCCTCATGGTTGAGAAATGGTGAAAAATTGTATGTAGGTATCTGAACTAATGTGCTTATATGTCATGTGTGCTGTATATATTCATTATTCATGTTGGTAATCATTTTTACAGGTTTCCACGAACACTTACTATTTCCTGAATGTAGGTATAATTTTTTAAATGGTAGGGCATATGCCTCTTCTTTCAATCCTCCGTTCCAATCAAAACTGTTTCTACTAAAATACATTCAAAAAGTTGTGGAGTGGATAATTATAGGCACAATGAGAAAGTATAATATGTGATTTCGTATTAGTTTTACCTCGAATATTTTGCTGATGTTTTTACCAATTTTGCCCATTCGGTCACTTCACTTTCCATGTTCTAAGTTCATTAAATTGGCATTTGATGAAAAGCTGACAAATTCAAATTTGTCATCCAACTGATTAATACAGCCTAACGCAGCACATTTTACGATCCTTCCAAAACCGAATTGAATAATGTCCTATTAAGATCAAGTATGACATTAAAATTTTGTAAGATTTCTTTTAACGCCTATGAATGTGACGTGACTGCAATGTCATGTCAGGGATGCCAATACACGAAACCAAAGTCACTAGATGATTAAAAGAGAAAGGAGCTATGATCTGTCCGTACCCTGTTAAGATGAGAAATTCGTCAGTTTGCATCAAGGGACCCTACAAACAGCTAGAGTTCCTAAATGTACTTTTTTTGTTCTAAAATGGTTCTATCCGTCATTCGGTTGCCCCCTTACGAGCAACCCTCAGAAGTCTTCGAAAGTCTTGTGCGAGCAAGGAATGACGGGGGCCTTACCTTTTAACGTGTGATCCTTAACACTTTCTTAGGCTATCAAAAAAAGTCTGCGTTCGTGGGACTCGAACCCACGATCGATACCTCGACGTGAATCGATATTGAAGCATCGAAGCACCGAGGTACGCTGCTGTTTTGACGTTTTTTGTATATTAGAGTACGGACACTATGACAAGCACTGACAATCAGACATAACCACAAATAAATTGATAGAAAAAGCGAGAACTGACAGTACACGGACGTGCATGACATACATTTCAAAGGTTTGACAAATTGGGAGAATTAGGAGAAATATGAAAGTTTGTGCAGTTTCCAACTGTGAGAACATGGGAAATCAATTCACTCTATTCAAATTTCCATCGGATATTTCTACAAAAATGGAAACAAAATATGATGCGGTCGGCATGGAAATAGGTTCAGGCCACAAAATTCGCAAGAGGTATTCAAATTTCTTGGCAGGATATGGAACATTTTTCAACGCAGAACGGAAGATTTGTTGTTGAAGAATAGGATCGTATTGAGAGAAAGAGTTGGACCCACAATTTATAAACTGAGCGAGTATTGAAAAGAACCTTATTCCAATTTAGAACCAACAAGAAACGAAAAACTTGCAGATGATGAAATTCATTTCGAACATATTTTGAAAGAAAAAGACTTGAGAATCGAATTTTTAGAGCAGTAATATTCAAAAATCCAAGGTTTAAGAGTGGAAGAGAGTGAGGAATTCAGGAAACAAATAGAAGAAAAAAAGAGTTGGAAAATAAGTTAAAGATTGAGATACAAAAGTCAGAGTTAGCAAAATTCAGAACTATTACCTAAAAATTATTTCAGATTTGAAACAAAATCAGCAAATATATTCAGGGAAATACAAGAAAATCGAACAAACGAATATCCAGGCAATTTTGAGCAAAATTCATAGTTTCGATGAGCGAAACTATGAAAAACTTTTGCATTTCAAAAACCAACAATCCCCTTTAGCAATGTGAGCGGCGATCTATAGTGAGTCGAGCGCTGAAGTCCATTTATACCTACTTTCGTATGTCTTGGAGAACCTTCATTATTTATCCTAACTGAAATCAGCTGTTATTGTTGCCATATCATTTGTTCATTTATTAATTACTCATTACCTACCACTCTTGTACAAGTGAAATTGTTTCATACGAAATAAAAGTATGTTTCATTGGTTGAAATTTAGCAGTTTTTACCCCATCTGAACTTTTGTGATATAAAAATATTCAACTGAACGTATATATTATATACCTACATATAAGAGACTTATTTCATAGGAATAGTATATGTATTTCGTTGGTATATATTTCCACAAACCGACTAGAAATCGGCCTCCATTGAGGTCCTTCAGTCTTATCATTCAATATTTCGAGAAGAAATGATTTTCTCATCAATTGATCGTACCCTTTTACCCACTTGAGGAGACGCTATGCAAGGTGCGTTCGGTTATAACATATCTGTTAGCTCGATTCCATCTGTTAGCTCGGAAAGCGTTCGATAAATTAGATCTACTTCCTCTGTCTAATCTGCTCCGTGTTCGTTAATTGTCAGAGCGAGCTGAAAGATGTCATCTGTTTGCTCCGCCTTGAGGAGCAGATCATTCAGATTTGATCGGTTATTCGGTTGTCAATTGTCAACAAATCAATGTCAACAACATGTTATTGAAATTATATCTCTTTTATGTAGAAAAATTTAAGACTCGATCAACTGGAAACGAAACACGAAACTGAATTTTGTAGAATCTTCCTTGCCCAGAATCGCCAGAATGACCGACGAATTTGCTGTAGGTAGCATATTAATTATATATGTAATATATGCGATCACAACTGCCCTGGATCCACAGTTAATGACCGATCATATGAGACAGAATCATTCCTTCCCTAGTAATTATCAAAATATAAACAACAAACATTCAAAAGAACTTTGTTGCCCTGACGTGTTTTCAAAAGTAATAAGGTTAAGTGAATTGTTTCTGTTTTCTGTTACTTCTGACAGCTGGCGCTCGCAATCTAGTAACTACCTCCTTGAGCGTTCGTTAAATATCTTTAGCTCTATCTGCTAGGTGATCACGTGACACCAAATCTGCATCTGCTCGCTCGGCTCCGATTTTGTTAAACCGAACGCACCTGCACTCTCATACAAAAATCAAAGGCAGAGAAAGATATATGGATGTACTCTTCCCAGGACTTGCGAAGGAAGGAAGATGCAAGGATCCTTTATCCAAGCGAAAAACATATTCTTGTCCTTGTCTGGCAAAACATATGATTTGCTTCAAAATCGTTTGTGGTTATGTTTGATTGTCACTGCTTGTCTAGTGCCCGTACTCTGATATACAAAAAACGTCAAAACAGCAGTGTCAAGTACATTTAGGAACTCTACAAACAGCTAGCTCGATGATAACCATAGTGGAAGGAGAAGATGGTGTGCTCAACAGAAAGCTCAAACTCGTCTTGTTCTGCGCATGACGTCAGCTGGGATATAACTGTCATTGTTATTATTTGTTTTCGTCATTGATGTCTCGAACTTCAGATATTATATAAGTACTAAAATTGAATGAAATAATTTCGAAATGCCTATTTGTTTCGTTTCTGGTTATGGAAATTCCAACTAACATACAAAAGGCACAGATATTGAATTTTTCTGCTTTTCCAAGACCTAATGAAACGATGTGAGCTTGCTGCCGACAGAATATAAACTCAAATAATGGTAACTACTTTATATTCATATCCTCATTCCAAAGTATTCACCTATCATATTATCATCACATTCATATTACAGCACGTATTTCTTCAAAACATTTCCATGCAAAATGTTCCCAAACAAGTGCGAAAGTACGGTTCTTGAATTACACACCTCCAAAAAATCACAAATATTTTAAACAAGATGCCTACAGAACATCTTCCGAATATCAAGTCAGAAATAATTGAAAATGAATTCAAAACTCTTAATTTCTCACAAAATATAAATTGCAGCAATGATTTGAATACAAAACGCCAAAAATTGATACTCCTATTGTCGATGTCGGAGCAGAAGCAACGTCAACGTCGTTAACTGCTGAATTTTAATCTGTCAGAATCGACACAGTAGTGGAACATTCAGATGAGATTGACAATGCATGATAATTCGTATGTATTTGCTATTTGCGATTGCGAATTACCTTAAGATCACAATTTCCATAATCAATGAAATAGTAAAATCGAAGGAATAGCTACCTGTTCATAAAAATTGAATTATTTCTAAACAGATCGAGAAACTTATAGAAATTTCGATAAACATGATTGAATTCATTGCGCACGCCCATGGCAACGGTACCTGTCTGTGACTAGCAGCTGATATTGGTATCCCAGCTGACGTCACATAATATGCGCATAACGAAACACGGTCCTCAGGGCGCCGACGGCAACGAGCTCAGGCGCCACATCCACGCCAACTCGATCGACCGTCACGCCATCCGCAAGCTGTTGCAGAAGATCTTCGTGCCGTGCTCGTGCAAGACGGCGTGCCCCAAGCACGAGGTCGCCTTCTCCATAGCCGACACCGTCCGATCGCTCGACATACCCGAAGAGAACGTGTCGACGCTGCTGTGCTATCTGGAGCTGCACGAGAACAAGTACATCGAGTTGTTGAGTCCGGCTTACACTTGGTGCAAGGTCATTTCGTACGGGGGGCCGATGGAGATCAGGTGAGTGGATTTCAGTTTTTTTTTATGTTCTGGTTCCCACGAAAAGGGATATCCTGTAATGTTCAGAGAACATCGTGAGAACCAAGGGAAATAAGGTAGGAGTTGGTGTTCTTCTTGAATTTCTGGAGGTTATATGCCTCGGGGAACACCTCCCTTGGCAAATGCAATAATTCGTATAGACGAATAAAATCGCTGCGCCTAAGCGGATCAGGAACTAGTGACTGCCTGCAGACCGGTTTCGAGCTGTTGGCTCTCATCATAGATTTCGGTAGGATGTAATCCAATGTTCTGTGTGGCATATAGCCAGGAAAGTAGTTGTTTTTCTATCGTAATCTACCATTTTCGTTCATTTTATAAACTTTGTTGGTAATGACTTAGAGTTTGATAAACCTAGAATCTCAAGACTAAGAGATTCTAGGGAAATTTCGTGAATCGATTGTCAGCTGATGCAAGACAGACTGTTTCGACTTGCCATAAGTCTCATCAGTTGCACTGGCCAGCTGACAATCGATTCACGAAGGGTACCTCCATATATCTAACAAGTCGAAGCCCTGAGGGGGCAGAAGGACGATCTAGCCTTCATAGCCATCTAGTGGCTCAAGTGCAAAGGTGTATGGTAGATTCATCAATCATACCTTGCGAGTAAGTCGTGCATATAGACCTACGTCTATATGCTTACAGAAAAGACATCCATGTCAGATTCTGTAGACTATCGCAACACCTGTAATTCTCAAAGTGGTTTAATGTTCCACTAACAGATGGTGATAAACCTAGAATCTCAAGACTAAGAGATTCTAGGGAAATTTCGTGAATCGATTGTCAGCTGATGCAAGACAGACTGTTTCGACTTGCCATAAGTCTCTCTCTTTTTGTGACCATTGCATTCCACCTTGAGTATTTGGCTTTTTCCTAGTTGATTATCCTATATTTTTAGTATTTTCAGATATTCTCATGATTTTTCAATGCAAACTTCATCCAAGGCGACAATGATAGATAATTTCATTGGGGACTGAAAAAAAAACACTTTTTTCTCTGTATTATTGGCTACCCGGCCGCGTATTGGCATTGTCTCCTATGGTACGACGCAACCTGAGAAAAATGTATGCCGAATCGCGGAAGATAATGTCCCACGATTTGGCAATGATATGCGCGACATTCTCTCCTGCTTTAGGACGCTACGTGCTGAATATTGAAGCGTCTGAATACAGTAGATTTTGCCACGAGAATTTTAGCTTTATGAGTGGCAATATCTACTATGGAAATAAACTTCGTGTTCTGTTACATTCAGTACCTATTGTAGTATTTGTCCTAATGAATACCTACACCTAAACTTGTCATTTAAAACACCCTCAAATATATTTTGTTTGAACCACTCTCAAACTTAAATCAAATGTTTCATACCTAGAGGCTTTTTATACCTATTAAGTAACGAATTTATTCTGAAATCTTAATAATGTTATAATAGGATATGAAAATGTAATAACGACGCCACTGATTTTTTGGCAGGATTCGTTAAATTAGCTGCTAACTTTTGGCTGCCCAATTCACAACTTAATTATCTAATAATTATATAATAATATATATATTATTACTCACAATTACGACAGTATCCAGCCCTTCTTTCACCAAACTATCTCTTTTATCGTATTACGATTCGTTAGTTTTATTTTGAAATCAATTTTAGCATTGCAGTTCTTGTCACGAATCCTCGTGTCATGTCTTACACGATTTTTATTTTTGCCGAACGTGGTATGTTGAAAAACAAACACTTTTCTGAATTTCAGTCGTTTAGCATTTGGATAAGTATATCGGACTATCCAATTGGTCGCTGTTAAATCGCCGAACTCTTTGATCAAGTCGTCACAAAATTCAGATGCGAGTTTTTCTTTTTCGTCATAATGAGCACGAATCTCACATGTGTAATTGAAATCGCTAATGAATGTGAAATTCATCAATCTAGCACTCGTGTTATTGCAAAATTGCATCAACATACTCTTTACACTTTCCTCCATTTTCAATGCACTCTTTAAACACGAGCCAAAGTTGAGACGGTTTGCCAAACTGCAAACTGAAACAAACAACACAAAAAACAGGAGATATTGCCCCTCCTACTCGTAACAAAATCTATTGTATCCAGACGCTTCAATATTCAGCACATAGCGTCCTAAAGCAGGAGAGAATGTCGCGCGTATCCTTGCCAAATCGTGGGACATTGTCTTCCGCGATTCGGCATACATTTTTCTCAGGTTGCGTCGTACCATAGGAGACAATGCCAATACGCTACCCGGCCACTGGACCTAATGATTTCAATCCGAATAGGTCTAAATAAGCACCTCAATACTTCAGTACCAAATTTCATCAAAATCGATACTAAGCAAACCCAGCAAAATTTTTGATCTTCTAACTCTGCAGGAAAATGGCAAAGGAATGTCCTCCTCTGGCGATGGCCCTGGCATTGCACAAGACCAAAGAGGGTGAAGACCAGAACGTACTCGAGTTCCCCGTGGTGGATGTGGCAGCGGCGATGGGGTGGGAGAGTGGTATTTGCAAGCACAAGTTGAAGAATCTCGAGTGGACCACAGGTTAGTAATGTGCAGCCAGAATGGCATTCCATTTTGGTTTGTCGTTATGTAATGGACTGTAATTTTTGTTATGAAGCGACAATACAGGATAGGCACTATCACACACCGTTCGATTTCTCCTTTTTCGTGCTTCCAAATGGCACAGTATATTATCCTTTCACGAGACAGTAAGCTCACTTCTGCATTGAAACTCGCGGTCGATGCGCAGTAGCACAGTCAAGCCTGATGAATGTACGGAGAGTCTCAGCACCATATTAACATGGTGTCCCAAAAACATCGTGAGTCGTAGTCTTAAGAAATGAAACATTGATTCATGCATGAATCCTAAGAAACACTTAATCGCTCCTAATCAAATAGATAACCTAGGTTTGTAATCAGAAGATGATCTCTCGTGAAAGGATAATATACTGTGCAAATGGTATAGCAGGACTGGTGGCGGTACCGCCTGATGATGCTTCTTGCTTGTCTTGTGGGTAATGTTTATCAGAGATGAATACTAAAATTGCATCACTAAATTGATTGTAATATGGAGGGGTGAGATTATAAGTATGGTACACTTTAAATTATTCTGGAGCAGGTCACACTCTTTTTCGTCTACCGAGTACCGAGACGTTCGAGGCCACACTTTTCGTTCCTCTCTGGTCACATGACCACGTCAGGAGCGACAGTACACTATCCTGTGATTGCTCACGCGCAATATTGGAGGTAATTTTGAATATTTAGGTGAACTCTGGCAGGATTATAGCAACTATAGAATTCAAGTATAGATCGGGACGAAACACATTTAATCGTCTACTTTAAATACTTTCATTATCCTGCGAAAAAAACGGTCAATATAGGTAGTAATTTACGTAAGAAGTCCGAAAAATATTTGTTTTTTCTGTGACGGAAAAAAGTTTGACATTTTATCTCTGTTGGCGGTTTTTTTTCCGCCGAGGTGGTTGAAATCTTTTATAGACATCATATGGGTCCAATCTCCCATATGATAGTGTGGGAGTCCTCTCCATGGTATACCCACTAAACACTCCACCCCGTTGTAGGCTCGTCTGACCGATGTCTCCGACGACACTACGGCCTAGTGGCCCATTGTATCTCACCTACATGCCGTTATCAATTTCACCACATACGACTCATGGTGCCTTTTAAGGGCCACTTCAATATGAAAGACCCTTCTCGTTCAGGTCTCTGAAGATTGCTATTCCGATCCCTGTTCTCGTCTACGAAGAAGGCCAAAAGCTTTCCTTCTCCTACGAGTGACGGGGGAAGGGGTTGGTCCAGCCCTGTGGTGCTAAGGCTGTTTACTCTGGGATGTCGCCCTGTTTCCCAGAGACCCCGTTAGCGACACCATTCCTCGGTGCCATCCATCCATCGCCACGGGTTCCCACAGCTTGGATTAGGTTGCCAAAGCCTCGTTGACCAGTCCTCGACCACCTAGACAGACATCGGCAAATCGCCCCATCCCTGCCACAGATGTCCAACAAATTGTCCCATCTGGCAGAAGATAGCAAAGATGGTCCCAAAATGCTTCATCTGTCAAGCGGCCGCGGCCTGCCTTCCCACACCACTTGATGGTGTGGTTGGGCTTGGAGGGGAAGAGGAAAAGAGGAGTTGGCCAAGAAAGACCGATAGAAAGATTGAAAACGGAAGAGAGAAGAGGATATCACCCAAGACAAGTTGAAGTATGGTGAATATCCGGCTAGGGTACCTCGGGTTCACCATTCCCGTACTCACAAGTTGTGAGCCCCTGAGGGGCTGTTGGCGGGTTACAAAATGTAATATGTATATACACTGTTGATGGCTTTTGTTGTGCCAGTTCCGAAAATTAAGCCATTAACACTGTCTTCGAGAAAGAACTGAAAGTCCTTTAATCTTCCATTACCCTTCGTGGTTACGTAAATAACTAAACAACCACTATTCAAAATTTTTGAAAAGATCAAAACAGAAATCAATTGACACATAATCGATTGCTTCTAAAGGTTTCCATAGCAACAATAAACATGCCTGCAGACACAGATGTACTATCAGCTAAAAACTCACAAAATTTCAAATCAATAATTTTCTGATTTCATTGTAATGTGATATCTTCTCAATATTGAATTGAAAAATACAGTGACGATTGAACAAAAAAAAATGCAGGGGAAATACTAAATTCTCGCTCTGCATTCAAAGCGAGTTCAAAAAATATAAATACAATTGGGTTGTGCACACTAGTCGAATTTACGCCACATACCTATTTTATATTGATCATTCCATGTATTTACATATAATGTACTTGTGTGTACTTGTGTGTACACACCATAGCTGGCCATCGACCTCACGAAAGATCCTTCAGCCCATGTGGGTGGTGTGTAGGCTTTGTTACTGGCTCCATACGCCACCTTAGGAGCAGCATTGTCAATTGGAACGCAACAGTGAATCGTGCGGATGCATCTCCGTGCCCTTATACAAAATTTTATTTGAAGCTAAGTGCCGGGTGTGCTTACAAATTACTTATATTTTGAGCATAAAATGGAAAATAGATACAAACGAGACTGTATTACAGTAAAATCTGTCAGTTTGGGAGATCACCACATAAACTTGAATATTAAATCAAACGAAATTTTATCATGGGAAATGAATAATACTCATGATGCATAATCATTTTGATTTCTTTTATTTTTACTCAATAAACTGTGTTTATTATGTCATTGCATTGTTTCTATGAGGTGAACTGATTTCTAATGATTCATTTAGCAGAAGGTTGATTTGGAATCGAATATTTTTTGCTTCTGACCTAAAAGCTCTGAAACTGATGATTACACGTTTGTCCATAGTGTCAAGTTATTGCAATATTTGTCAACAAAAAATTGTTCGAAGCAGTTCAATTACCTACTTTCAAACTCAGGATAATACAAGTTTCTATTAAATTAACTGGGTCCTGATGGATTATTTGAGAGAATTTTGATTTGGAATCAACGATATTGTTTATCTTCATTTGATTACCGAGCCAAACACAGTGGAATATGGAGAGAAATAAATAATCGCTATTATTATTGTTGATATGCTCACTAACCTAACATTTTCCACTCCTTTTTCCTATACCTGACACTGGCGCGGTATTTGCTATTAGTGCTGACACCTGGTCCAAATTAATTCATCGATTCAATAGAATACACAAATGAGTCACTCTGTGGTTGTATTTAGATTGAAACTACAATTCGAATATCCTTGAAAATCGAATAAACCTGATATGTAAATGCAGGTAAATTGCAGGTAGAAATATTATTGGAACTATTGGTCCTAATAAAACAATCTACTATTATATACCTATTATAGATATGAAATCAATTAAATGAATACGCTGCAGCTACAACCCTTCGTAGAAATAATTTCACTAATGCACAGTGGTCATGTAAAAGGCGCATTGTCAACGTTTTTTATTGTTTGAAAGAATTCTCAACATTTTCGTTTATATTTTATATACCAAAAGTTGTATATATCTCAAAAGCCCGCTATTTAACGAAGAAATCCTTTTACATAGCTGACCTTTTTATAGCCAAGGCGTAGCCGAGGCTAGGGAACCAGCCAAGGCATTGAATCTGCTGTTCTGCTATGTGAAACATACAGGGTGTCTGTAAAAGGTTGGGACATGGCTCGGCTGTGGACTCCTGGGATAAAAACAAGTTGATTTAGGCCAACTTACCTGTATCCAAAATCGTCTCCTTGAGTTGGTACAAGGCGTTGAAGTTTTTTTGGAAAAAAATAATTTTGCTCATAAAAAGGGTAGGCTGAGATCGATTTTCATAATTTTTGGCATGGCATGTTCTGTGACTGTAAGTCACGTTTTGAGATGTTTTTGATCATCATCAGTGACCTGCAAGTGTTACAAACAACCATGTTGCCGTACAAATTTGGTGATAACTTTCCAGAGGTCGGACTGGAAATTGGAACGAATTTGGAGGAACAATTATATGTTTGAGTTATTTTTTCTGAATAGGTACCAGTATTTCAACTAGTCCAGTCAAGAGATCACCCTTGCATTTAATATTCCATCAATTGCTTAAAGTGCATATCAAAAACTTGATTTTCTGTTTCGGGCCAGGAGTTATTTCACTTCCAGTCAGCTGTCCTGGAATACTGTTCCCATATTTGGAGTGCAGCACCCAAACATACCCTGAAACTGTTGGATTCTTTCCAAAAAAAGGGCAATTCGTCTCGTGGGTGATGCCTCGCTCACAAACTCACTCATTTCTCTGGAATACCGTAGAAAAGTTGGCGATCTGGCTGTATTTTATAGATGTTTTCATGGACGATGCTCTTCTGAAATATCAACAATTGTTCCTCCCTTGGCAGTTCTCGCGAGATTAACCCGTCGAGTTGAGGCTTTGCACCCCTTCGTGGTCACTTTGGAGACCTGCAGAATATCTCTTTCCAAAGACTCGTTCATCCAACGAACAGCGAGGCTCTGGAACACATTGCCAAAGGAGGTGTTTCCCGAGGCATATAACCTCCATAAATATAAGAAGAACGGCAATTCCTTCCTTATTTCCCTTGGTTCTCACGATGTTCTCTGAACATTACAGGATATCCCTTTTCGTGGGAAACAGAACATAAAAAAATGTGACAACTATATATGTTCTGTAACTCATATTTCATTCATGTTATGGCCTGACTTTATTGAAAATATATGTATCTTCTTTCACAATATGATGTGAAAAAGTAGAACCTACCCTAACCTAACATTTGTTTTGTACTGGGGGCGGCTAAATATGTGCTGCTCGAAGCGCCGAAATTTCTGATCTGGACCTACTTTTTTCAAGTAAATAACCAGCCCAAGCGATCCAAAATCACCGTCCAGTTATCGGACCTGGGCTTCCACCTCTTCGCCCCCGGCAACCTCTCTGACGACCAACTAGACGAAGCCTTGGACAACCTGTACAGCCGAGTGGTCGACCAAGAGCAGAAAGCTCTGTTCCAGCTCAAGGCCATCCACCAAACGCTCCAGCACGCCGCCAAACCCACGTTCCGGATGACCTTGTCGGAGGACAAAGACAACGCGATCAAGCTCAAGGTCAGAGAGTACTTTGACTCCCCTGATCCCTTGAAGATGGTCGAGGTCGAAGCGCCTGCGCAGTTCAATGAGGAGCAGCTGGTGTGCGACGTGCACGCTTTGGTCTCGATGTACAAGGACAATTCTTTCACCGGGCGAGCTGTGGCTCGGATTTTCCACGGGATCCAGAGTCCGAATTATCCGGCGGTGGTGTGGGGCCGGTGCAAGTTCTGGAGACGGCATCTGGACAAGGATTTCCATGCTGTGGTGAGGATTGCCACTAGGGAGATTATCAAGCTGAGATGAGAGGATTTTAATACATTTTGATTTTAGCAGAGATGATTTTATTTTTGAAAGAAATTTAGAGGAAAGGTTTCCTCTTGTTCAGTATGAATCTAGAATGCAGGGGCGTCGATAATATTTTGGGGGGAGGGTAGTGGATACTTGCTTTAGGTAATGAAAAAAATGCTAGGTTCTATGCAGAGCCATAAATAACATACAGTGTCTTGCATAAAGCTGGAGACAAACTTTTAACAATTCATTCCGAAATTCGACTGGGGCGTTGAGTTTCGCCTTGATAATTATATTCAATTCCTACCACTGAACTATACCCTACAAATGGAATGCCGATGCATGATATCAATAATACGCTCATTTGAACCTCGCGCAGACATGGCGAATTTAATATGCATAATATGCATGCGCACTCATATTGAAACCAGGGCCGGTCTTGCCAATGAACGTTTATTTCTTGCCCATTGAAGTATGTTGAATTATAATGTATAATAGTTTGTGAATTTTCGTTTTTCGAAGACAGTTATCAAATGTTGACATTTGAACACAAAATACTTCGGCGTTATTTTGCCGAGCTTCGTAAAAATTATCATTCGAAAATATTTTTTTTCTTTGATGGAATTAATATTTTTATCTGGAACAGAGAAAATAGACAACAGACTTTCAGGCTCAAAAAATTGAAATTTTGTTCAAAAGGTGAAAAAGGGTAGCAAGTACACATTCTCACCAAATGAAATTAAATTATACATATAAATATAGGTAGGTGAATAATGCTAATATATTTTTCACCTCGTTTTTCACTGAGTAATAATATTGAAAACATTAAATAAAACATTGAATAGGCAACTACATTTTTATTCAATAATTACCAACCGAAAACATTTTTTTAAGGCAAGATAGACGCAAATACATTTTAGGAAAGACAAAATGAAATACATTCTGTTATTCATTAAACATTTTTTGTTATTGGAATATGTGAAATTTTCATTGGAGAAATGTTCTTCACATATACAGTTGGCCTGGCTAAGTTTCTCAACTTTAGGATCTCTACCCAGTGCCTGCATCCATGAGGAATATCTCTGTCAAGCTGAAAACACAAAAAATATAATGTTTTTCTAAAACCTATCTATATTCATATATACTAAGGTAAAGCAGGATTTATAGATTCAACTGAACTGAGAATTAAACTAACAACTGTCAACTCAGGTCAGTTATATTAAGAATTACAAAGTTGGCCAACTTTCAACTCAACAACTGAGAATTAGGAGATTCTGGAGACATAACATGAAGATTGGATTCATATTATTGTTCAAGTGGAGTTTGGTGTGATATTTTTTCTTATGGATTCATGAATTGTGGGGACCAAAATCACTTGTTAACATCATTTTGATTTTTAATCAAAAGACATTTCACATCTAATTCCCAAATTATCTCAGATATGTATTAACACCCTTATGATTATTAACTGTTGATTGTTAATTCCTAATTGTAGTTCTGAAAAATTGTTGTTCTTATTATCAGCTATATACTGGTATGAATTCACATCTATTATTCTAGTACATTCGAGTTTGTTTGATAACTTACTTGAAATAGGATAAACCTTGTTTTCTTTTCCGATTTCGGCACAAGAACACCATGCATCCCTGGCCCATATTGTCTAATAATAGTCTTCAAACTGATAAGTCACCAAAATCACGATCACAACTCAAAAATATAAACGAAACTCACGAAACAAACAAACAAACAATAATAACGGTGTGGCAGATGATGGGCACAAAAATATTCAAGCCTCTCCTGATGGGATCACACCTAATCAACGACATACGTCTGCGGCTGTAAGAAATTTCAATAATCACGGACATTCTTTTCATATCTTGGTTCTACTGCGCCGACGCAGAACCTTAAGGTCAAGATCTCCTGGGAGGCGTAAAATTTTCACGCGCAGGTGGCTGCATCAGCATTCCATTTGTAGGGTATAGTTCAGTGATTCCTACTCGGTCGAGGTCACGTGACCACATGTGGAAGGTTATACATTTTTACATATTAATCGCTTGAAAAAAGCTATGTTCTATGCAGAGCCATAAATAACATACAGTGTCTTGCATAAAGCTGGAGACAAACTTTCAACAATTCATTCCGAAATTCGACTTGGGCGTTGAGTTTCGCCTTGATAATTATAAAAAATGTCCTACACGGTCGAGGTCACGTGACCACATGTGGAAGGTTATACATTTTTACATATTAATCGCTTGAAAAAAGCTATGTTCTATGCAGAGCCATAAATAACATACAGTGTCTTGCATAAAGTTGGGGAAAAACTTTCAACAATTCATCTCGAAGTTTGACTGGGGCGTTGTTGAGTTTCGCCTTGATAATTATAAAAAATGGCCTACTCGGTCGAGGTCACGTGACCACATGTCAAAGGTTATCCATTTTTATAAATTAATCGCTCAAATAGACTCATTTGTTTGAAATTCAAAAAATTTTACATAGTAATGTTTCTATTTCAATTATGTGTCGAATTTGAACTTTTTTTTCTGGTCTTCTTTAATTAATTTAATTGAAAATATGACATCCAGTCAGAAACAAGTTCTGGTATAAGGAAGTATAGTTAACAATAATACTTAACTATACAATTAAAATTAATTTGCATAAATAATAAAAGAAAAAAAACATTGATTTTGTTCAGAAATGATGAATTTTTTAAGTTCGTAATTGAATTTGATTGTATTTCTGCAATTTTTTATATTTTCTGGTAATTTGTTGTACTCAAACAGAGCAGCGTGGGTGTCTAGTTTGGCGATCATGAATTTCATTGTTTCCTGTTAAAATAAAATTGGATTTCAATTTTTCATTTATGATATTGTATATTATTTTCATATTTTCGATGAAAATGATTTTGTTATTTTATATAACTGATTTGTTGGTGTATTATATGGTAAACGATACAGTACTTTCAATGTATTTTTATATAATGCAGATATTTTATTAAAATTGCTTTTTGTACAGTTTCCCCAAACATTTATCAAAAAGTTAATACGACTGAGTGTATGAGAATAAAGAATTATATATGCAATTTTTCAATCGAGCTTGGGACATCTTCTTAGGGCTCCAATAATAGGAGATATTTTTCATCAACACTTTTATATGTTTGTCCCACTTCAGTTTATCATCAAACCAAATCCCAAGATACTTTTTCACATTAGTTTGTTTCATAGATTCATTTTTAATTTTGAGATTTGAATTTACATTTTGTTTACATTTTTGTTGGAAAATCATATATTCAGTCTTATCAGCATTCATTGATGAAAGGTTTGAATGCAGCCATTTTTCAAGTCAAGTCTCTATCAATTATATTTTCAGTTTTTGATATTTATTCAACTTCTACCAAATGTCTGCAATGCAAACACAAAACAATTTCATTCCAGGTGATTCATAATGCTACTAATTTTCAATCACTAATTATTATTGAAAAAAATATGATTTTCTCCAGAAAATAATAAAACCCACTTCAAATTTTTGTTATGATTGATGCAAAGTTAATGTATTGTCTAGCATTCAGGAGCGAAATTTATTAAAATGGATTGTCGATGATACCATTAGAATGAATAAAAAAATATCAAGAACTCAAAACTGCAATAGAATATTCAAATTCGAGGCACATGTGTAAAATTGGAATAGAAACAACTTTTCCTGGTAAACTTTTTTGAAATTCAAACAATAAGGTTGATATGAAAAAATGTAACTTTTGAAATGTACCGATCAGTCACGTGATCATAACCGAGTAGTCAATTTTTTATCTTTTTTAGAGTAAAACAAGGCACTATTTGATTTATTATTTTTCCCATATGATACCAACTTTATGAAAGACACTGTATATCAAAATTAGAAATAAAATTAAACTTCTTTGAACAAACAAATCAACCCAAACCATCATAAGCGTCTATTATCTATCTCACAAATAATAAACAACTTCGGTGGATTAACATTCTTGGAAGGGTGGGGGTAGTTACCCCCATCAGCCCCCCCAATGTCGACGCCCTTGCTAGAAAGTCAAGAGAATTTTACCAGATTTCATTTTTTGTAGTGAAACATTTGTTTGTGAAGAAGATTCTATTTTAGCAACTTGCATTTTTTATTTAGGGAAGGAACTTTGATAATGATTTTCATGCTGGGATGAGGATTTGCCACTAGAGAGATCATTAAGCTGAGATTGAGATACATCTAATTCATTTTGGTTTCAGCAAAGAAGATTTTATTTTTGAAACAATGTGTTTTCACTTTGGAGGAAAGTTTTTCTTTGTTCGGTATGAATGAGTCCAGAGAATTTTACCAGATTTTATTTTTTGTAGTGAATTATTTTTGTAAAGATTATTTTTTAGCAACTTGCATTTTTAATTTGGGGAATGAACTTTCATGACGATTTCCATGCTGTGGTCGGATTGCCACTAAGAGATCATCAAGCTGAGATGAGAGGATTTTAATACATTTTGATTTTAGCAGACATGGTTTCATTCTTAAAATAACTTTTGAGGAAAGCTGTTTCTCTTGTACAGTGTGGATCTAGAAAGTTGGGAGAATTTTATTAGATTCAATTTTTTGTAGTGACTATTCCACTCTTGTTCTCGAGAACCAATCAGAATCGAACTTTTTCACAGATTCTCCTGTATTCCCGCGATATTTTTGACTAAAATTTATCAGACTTGCTCTACCAATACAGAAGCCGAATTGACCCACACGTGACAAACCAACCTCGCTTTTCAGCGATAAAATTTTTGACATTCAAAACGTCATCAATCATGTTGGAAGCCAGAATGATGGATGCAGTGTGCGCAACTCTCGCGAGGCCCTCGTTTATTGTCTCATTCATGAAATATTCATATGAATACAACTCATGATGCTATTTTTCCTGGAAATATTGACATACTCTAGCTTGCTTTTTTGATTTCGTTCATAACATTGATTCAAAACTTCTCGCCTACGGATTGAAAGTTTTGAAAAACAATATCATTCGCGAAATTATTGGGCAACAAGCTGTCATAACAATCGCAGAATATTTTCCGCAAAATTGTATCACTTGTGGTATTACATATGAAAAATCAACTTCTCCACAGAGAACGCCACTTGACGATGACGTGAGTCATATTATCACCGATAAAAAATATGCACCTTTTTTATCGTTGTTTGTATGTATGTAGTTTGTATGCGCCTGATGTTACTCCAATTTCTGTCGTGTCAAGTTTGATTGTTGAATATATTGTTCACGAGTAAATTAGCAAGATGAGCCGTTTTCGGAAAATTTCGT